GAAAATCATTTACTATCGTGAAAATTCAAGCGATTCAATCTTATTTTACATGCAATGTAAATATGACACATATACAAAATTATAACTCATCGGATTATGATACATGCCATTGTCAATTAACACTAGATTAGGACTCGTATGCATACACGTTCGTTCGCCGTTCCACATATTAAGATTAAATATTTCTGTTGTAAAATCCTCCATGTAATTGTTATAATAATTTGTAAGAGTTAACATTTTTTGAGAAAAAATATACTCGAGGAACATTCTTTTGGTCATGAATATGACATGTATCATAATCCAGTGAATTATAATTTTGTATATGTATAATATTATAGCTTAAAAATATAATAAATTAAATTTCTTTAAAATAGATCATGAATATGGTGATATGGAGTTAACTTCAATATGTAGATATGGAGTTTTATATTTACACGAGGAACATTGATACACAATGTTTTAAACCCAAAAGCCGCTGCAAGTGCACATCAATCGACACTAGTAATTATGGGGTCGAATTATGATTCACGAAAATTGCAATAAAAACAAATGAGAAATTCAATAGAGAAAAGCACCATGTCTCAGGGTTTATCGCAGAGAATCACGAATTGCAAGAAATCAGATTACTTGACAGGGAAGAGATTAAGATATGTTTTAGAACTGAAAGCACAATTGTATAATTGACCTACTCTCGTAGTACCATTCACTATGTCTAACAACCTAAGCCTCTAAACTCTTGTTTGATTCTTATGAACTAAACATGCAGTAAGTCCAAGTTTGATTTGTTCCATAAACTCTCTCGCAGGTTATAACGCCTAGCTTATATAGATTAGTTTAGGTGATTTATCAGACTTTTGGAATGTATATCTATGTAAGTTCATATGCAAGGTGCGTAGTCAAGCAATTAGCATTAAGAACAAATCAAGATAAAGAATCGTATGTTAATCCCTATTCTAAGCAATCATCAATTTAGCAACACATGAAAACCCTTTAATTCTCCTCAAACTAACTAAGAGATTACTCAAACATAATAAACGCAATCAAGCAAAGAGATGCAGAAGAAATCATGATTAAACTCAATCAAAAATACGAGGGTTCATAAATCTTCTCTATCAGAGATACATAGTTGAGATCTTCTCCCTTTAATATCAAAAACGAAAGTAATCAAAAGTTATAGAATAATATGAGTCTCATTTGTCTAAAGTGGCTTAAAACATGAATAAATAAGTTTAGATCTTTCTTGGGTCGAATTGGAGAAGTTCTGTGTGAAAAAAGGAAAATCCGTCTTTTTTAGCAAGGAAGACCGGTCTCGTGCAAGGAGGCTCCGTCCGATCTCTCATTCCGGTCTTCTACACGCCCGATGCATCCTTGTTGAGCTCCAACCGGTCTTTGTGGCCGGTCTTCAATTCTACACTTGCCTTATTCGCAGACCAGATTTGTATGTCTCAACAAAAATTAGTGTAACTTTCTGATCGTTGGTCTAAATGACTTCAAACTTCTTCTAGATGAAAGCTGATTCCATCTGATATCTTGTGTCCAAATATCAGCTAAATTCAATGAAATTAAGGTCTCCAACGGTTGCTAGACATCTGATGCTTTGGAACTGTCCAATATCTGGATCTCTTGTCATTTCTCCAATTGACATGTAATAGACTCTAAACACTTTAGCAAGGAAGATCGGTCTCATGCAAGGAGGCTCCGTCCGGTCTCTCAGTACGGTCTTCTACAAGCCCGAACGCATCCTTGTTGAGCTCCAACCGGCCAATGTGGCTAGTCTTCAATTCTACACTTGCTTTATTCGCAAACCAGATTTGTATGTCTCAGCGAAAATTAGTGTAACTTTCTGATCGTTGGTCTAAATGACTTCAAACTTCTTCTGGATGAAAGCTGATTCCATCTGATATCTTGTGTCCAAAATTCAGTTAAATCCAATGAAATTAAGGCCTCCAATCGTTGCTAGACATCTGATGCTATGGAACTGTCTAATATCTCGATCTCTTGTCATTTTCTGCAATATACCTGTAATAGATTTTAAACACTAGAAACACACTAAAATTATCACTTAAGGTATAAAACCGCAAAAAACCATTAGATATAGTCATAAAACCGTATTAAAAATCATAAAAACAAGGATGCATCAAACATTCTTTTGGATTTTTTATTGTTTAAAAAAAAAAATCGAAACATCCAAGGTT